CATCTTTGGCCAGTCTCTCCAATCCCTGGGAATTATACATCAAACCTCCTGTCCATACACTCCCGAACAGAATGGGGTGGCTGAGCGTAAGCATCGCCATCTCATTGAAACGGTGGTTACTCTTCTACATCAATCTCATCTCCCTATCTCCTTTTGGGTAGAAGTTCTAGCCACCGCAAATTACCTCATTAACAGAATGCCCAGTCACACTCTCTCCAACAAATCACCCTATCAACTCCTTTACCAAGAACTTCCCAATTATACCAACCTCCGCGTCTTTGGGTGTCTTGCCTACCCTTGGCTACGCCCTCATATTACTCACAAATTACAACCCTGATCCCAACCTTGTATTTTTTTGGGCTATCATCCTACCTCTAAGGGTTATCGCTGTCTTGACCCACAAACTCATAAAGTCTATATATCTCGTAATGTCAAATTTGTCGAAAATGAGTTTCCCTATGAGTCTATTTCCTCCTCCACAAATACATCATTCATTGGCGTCCTTCCCCGTTTTCCAACATACTCACAGGGTCCCTCACCACCTTCCCCCACACCTCCACCCACTATCCAACCACCCCTCATCACCCCTTCGACCGTCACCCACAATACACCCGCAACCACCACCCACACTCACAACCAACCCGAACCACCCCATACCCACAACATCTCCTGCCCAATCCGTTTTGGGTCCTTCCCGATCACCCCCGAATCACCACCGCCCGTGCCACCCCCCAATACTCATCCCATGTTAACCCGTGGCAAAGCCGATATTTTTAAACCCAAAACCTTTCAGGCTACCATACTACCAAATACACCTCTTCCCGATAGTGAACCAACAACCTACTCTGTTGCCTCAAAAAATGTTTATTGGCGTCATGCTATGGATGACGAGTTTAAGGCTTTGACTGATCAGAAAACTTGGGTTCTTGTACCTAAGCCCCATGGGCGGCACCCAGTGGGTTGTAAATGGGTGTACAAAATTAAACACAATGCAGATGGCAGTATTTCCAGGTACAAGGCTCGTTTGGTTGTTAAAGGCTACAATCGGGAGTATGGGCTTGATTACTCCGAGACATTCAGTCCAGTTATTCGGCAGGAAACCATTCGCCTGGTACTGTCACTCGCCGTGCGCAACAATTGGCTCATCAATCAGTTGGATGTTTCCAATGCTTTTCTTCATGGCATGCTTGATGAAACTATCTACATGACGCAACCACCGGGCTATGTTGATCCCCGCTTCCCACAACATGTTTGCAAACTCCAGAAGTCTCTGTATGGGCTCAAGCAAGCCCCCCGTGCTTGGTACACACGTCTGAAAATGTTCCTCCAGGGACTCGGCTTCACGTGTTGCGTACACGACACGAGTCTGTTTACTCGACATTCAACACACGATACAGTCGTTCTTCTTGTCTATGTAGATGATATCATTATTACAGGCTCTACTGCAGCTCTCATTCAGGATGTCACTCGAGCTATGCATACTACCATCAAAATGAAGGACCTTGGCCCGTTACATTATTTTCTGGGAATGGAGGTCTCTCGGACATGCAGCGGCTTGTTTCTTCATCAGTCAAAATATGCTCGAGATCTATTGCAAAAAGCTGGACTAGAAAAATGCACCAGTCAACCAACACCGATGGCAGTCTCTTCGTCTACGAATGGAGCCGACACCCCCTTTGCCGATATCACCCACTTCCGCAGCCTCATTGGGGCTCTATAGTATCTGGCCATTACCCGTTCTGACATCTAGTTTGTTGTCAACCGAGTTGCTCAGCGCATGCATCAACCAAGTGAACATGATTACCATTGTCTAAAACACATTCTCAGGTACATTTTTGTCACTCTTGGTCGTGGTTTACTCATTCGACCCGGGGACTTGGAGCTTCGGGGTTTCTCCGATTCAGATTGGGAGAATGATAAAAATGACAGAAAATCTACATCGGGGTTTCTCGTTTTTTTGGGGTCGAACCTGATCTCCTGGTGTACAAAAAAAACCCAAGGTCTCTCGGTCCTCGACTGAAGCTGAATATCGCGCCCTTGCTCTTCTTGCTGCTGAGACCATGTGGGTCACATATATTCTTCGCGAACTCCGCACCACTCACACTGTTCTTGCTCTCTATTGTGACAACAAATCAACCATCTGTGTGGCCAAGAATTTCGTCCTACACACCAGAATGAAGCATGTTGATACCGATTGTCTCTTTGTTCGCGATGAAGTTCAGGCCGGCACCATGACTGTGCAGTATGTACCCACTGAAGAACAATCGGCTGATATTCTCACCAAGCCTCTCCCGAGCCGACAACATGATTACCTCAGTTCCAAGCTTCCGTTCGCTTCCGCTCAGCTCACCTTGAGGGGGGATAATAACAGATAGTATTAAATAAATAGTATTAAATAATAGTAGTATTTACTGTGTACTAATCCGTACTAATCCTAGTCCTATTAGGATTAGTACTTCTTAATCCTAGTCCTATTAGGATTAGTACTCCTTCCTATATCTCCTATATATATCTCCCATGTATTCCGTTATTAGGTTAACACTTCAATACAATCAATATTCCTTCAAAAATAAACTTGGGTGGGTCAAGACCCAACCCGATTACTATTGAACTCATTTTAATATTTTCAATTTCAACCCAACCCGTCCATTTGACAGCCATAATATTGAATCACATGAATTATTAGGTGATGTTAGTGGTACAGCTGGATTGATTTGTTGAGTATGTAGCAAGAATTGATGGGAAATAGAGGGAAGGAGAGGAATTTAAAAAGTTGAGAATTTGAAACGTCCTCTTATGCTTTAATGAAAAAGCATTTGTCCCTCATCGGTGATAGAAAGAAAAACAGAAGAGTTTAAATACATAAACACTCCTATTAATTGTTAAAGGGGTTGGAAAGAGGGACTCCCCTCGCGCTGTCGTCGTCGCTCGCCTCGGCTTCGGATACGGCTACGGTTAGGGCAAATGATCGAGAGATTATTTTTTGGACAAAGTTTATTTTAATTATTTATTTAATTAATTAATTAATTAAATGACCAAAAATGTTTTCAATTTATTAGTTGATAACAGAAGTTGAAAATTAACCGAAATGCTTCCACTTTTTAGTTGACTAAGCCGACCCGACTCGAATCTGTGCGCGATCCGTTTTATATGAACTTTTCTGTTTTATTTTAATTTTCCGCCATGATTGTTCTGAAAGGTTGCAACTTTCAGGAACAGTTTGTACCGTTTGAAAGGTTGCAAACTTTCATTAATGTTCATGTATATTCTGAAAGGTTTCAGAACATATTCTTCTTGCCTATAAATACCACTCATTCTTCAGAATATTTCCTAACGAATTTTTTGATCTTCTTCTTCTTCCTCTGCACACATTTTTCTTCGTGTACTTTCATGCTATGGATTGGTTCGCTGACAGTAGAGTTTTTGGTATCTACACTCTGCTGATTAAGATCATTTTACCCTGGGAGGTTATATTCCAAATCAAACCTCGGATACTAGAGGGGAATAATTTCCTTAAGGGGACACTGTGAGTTCAATGAACTTGATCTTTTTCCGATTTAAAATATTTTTTCAGATTCTAGTATGTTTTTATAGATTTTAATTTTTGTGAATTAATTTTTTATTCATCTCTCTTACTGGTTCTATAAATTTCAGATACTTCGTGTTTCTGAACAATTTATTAGAATCAGTAACTTCTGGTTTTGATAACAAGATTATTTTTAAATTTTTTTCCAATTATATCAATTTCTCAATTATCTTATTTTGTATGGTTAATATTAGATTTTTTTGACACTATCTCATCATTTTAAATCTCTTTTCATTATTGGTATGATTCGATTTCTTTGATATTTGTCTAAAGAAAATATTATATAAGAATTAGAAATAGAAGTTACAACATGAATACATGATATCATATACTCATTCGTCCATTACTATTTGTCATAATTTCTATTGTTAGAGTCAAATTATAAGAATTTTGATTAACATTTTAAGATATATTTTTATCATATAAATATGCACACCTAAAAATCATATTATCCATCCCGTAAATCATAAATCACATATAAAAACTATAGAAAGTTATAATGGAAGAAACAAGTAAAATATAAGTGTCATACATACACTAATACATTATACTTCACTTGCGTGTGGTTACCATATATCTTATTTATGCGTGAATAAGTTGTTTTTTTGCGTGCCAATTATGCAATAAATTCTTCATATTTTAAATACTTATTATCATACATTTTATAAATCTACGAACTATAGCTTCATTTCATAATTATGAAAGAAACTATTACTCTATAAGAAAAACCACCTCAAGCAATTTTCTTAATATGTATGCTGTAGCCTTAATCAAAAGGCCACACGTCTCTTTCCTTGACCCATGGATGGCCCAAAAGGTTGCCCCTTACTAAAAACAACCTCCCTAAGGGAGCTTCACATAACACAATGTTGACCTTTCTATACCCCACACTTTAAAAATTATATACTAATATTTCTTTTTGATATATTCTTAAATATACAATAACTTTTTTAGCAATACTTTATTTTTATTTATCATATAATATATTTAAGTTCATATTTATCACGTAATATATTTAAGTTCATAAGATTAAAAATATTATTATTTAATTTTTAAATTTCGTATCAAATTAAATTAGATCATTGTTTTCAGAAGCGAGGTACTTCTTCTATTTTCTTTTTTAGTTTATTTAGAAAAAGAATAATCTTTTTTTAGCAATTTTTTAATTTTAATTTTCTACATAACATGTTTAACAAAATTAAAAGATATTTTAATACATTTAATATAAATTTAAACTAAAATTATAAAATTAATTTTTTTTTATATTTTAAACTTTATTTCAAATCAAATTAGATCAACGGAGGAGTAATAAACGGAGGAGTAATAACTTTGAAAGGATATCCTAGTCATTAGCACTTGTAATTTAGAAACAATAACGACCCTTTGGAACTTCCAAGAGTCCAAAAGCACCGTACCCCCCTACCCCACTTCACGACTACAAAAATGGTCTTATTCTTCCATTTTCATCACCACCGGCACGATCACCGCTACCTCAATCGACTAAATTCTCAATTTTAAGTTGGTTTTGTAACTTAGTTGTTCTTTTTAATTTGTCGAAATGACTTCTTTTTCTGTTAAATTTTCAGCTACTTCACTTCCAAATTCTAATAGATTTTCCAAACTTCATGCTACTCCACCGCAGACGGTGGCGGTACCGTCGTACGGGGCGGCGGAGATAGCTGCTGAAAGACTAGAGCCTAGAGTTGAGCAAAGAGATGGGTATTGGGTAGTTAAGGATAAGTTCAGACAAGGCATAAATCCAGCTGAAAAGGCGAAGATTGAAAAGGAACCAATGAAACTATTCACTGAAAATGGTATCGAAGATCTTGCTAAGATCTCGCTTGAAGAGATCGAGAAATCAAAGCTAACTAAAGAAGATATTGATATTCGCCTCAAGTGGCTTGGACTCTTCCATCGGAGAAAACACCACTGTAAGTAGCAAAAATTGGGATCATTTACTTATTAGTTCATTCGTCACATTAGTATTAATGTTTGTGATATTCAGATGGTCGATTCATGATGCGATTGAAGCTTCCAAATGGAGTAACGACGAGTGATCAAACTCGATATTTAGGTAGTGTGATTAGGAAATATGGGAAAGATGGATGTGGTGATGTGACTACAAGGCAAAATTGGCAGATTCGTGGGGTTGTGTTACCTGATGTGCCTGAGATTCTAAAGGGGCTTGATGAAGTTGGCTTGACTAGTCTGCAGAGTGGCATGGATAATGTTCGAAATCCGGTGGGGAATCCTCTCGCAGGGATTGATCTTCATGAAATTGTAGACACAAGGCCTTACACTAATTTGCTGTCCCAATATGTCACCGCCAATTTTCGTGGCAATGTGGATGTGACTAACTTGTAAGCCTTGCACTAAACATTTCACAATTTTGTGTTTCAACTTTATAGCTTTGATCGAGGTTAACTTAAAGCATCTGCTAATCAGATTTTTACATTATAATCATGTTATTGCAGGCCAAGGAAGTGGAATGTATGTGTAATAGGGTCACATGATCTTTATGAGCATCCGCATATCAATGATCTTGCGTATATGCCTGCAACCAAAGATGGACGATTTGGATTCAACCTGCTTGTGGGTGGATTCTTCAGTCCGAAGCGATGTGCAGAGGCAATTCCTCTTGATGCATGGGTTCCAGCTGATGATGTAGTCCCTGTTTGCAAAGCTATATTAGAAGCTTATAGAGATCTTGGTACCCGAGGGAACAGGCAGAAAACAAGAATGATGTGGTTAATTGACGAACTGGTGAGTAGCATTGCTTAGTTGGTTTATGTTTTACTTGTTAAAAATAATAATTTGTCATTCGTATGGCCTCAATTGGAGTTGGTAAAGTCATAGCATACACGGTGTTGATAGGGAAACATGAGTTCCATGATGACATATTGGTTTTGAATAGAAGTGCTTACTAGTGTTAGCTGATGTAATACTATATCGCTTTTTGGCAGAACCAAACTTTTCGGTAGATGATCTAACCGGTATCATTTTCTCCCTGTTAAATTTGAATGATTCAGGGTGTTGAAGGATTCAGGGCAGAAGTTGTGAAGAGAATGCCCCAAAAGAAGCTAGATAGAGAATCTTCAGAGGATTTGGTCCTGAAACAATGGGAAAGGAGAGAGTACCTTGGCGTGCATCCGCAGAAACAGGAAGGATACAGCTTTGTTGGTCTTCACATTCCGGTTGGTCGTGTCCAAGCAGATGACATGGACGAGCTAGCTCGTTTGGCTGATGAGTATGGTTCAGGAGAACTCCGGTTGACTGTTGAACAGAACATCATTATTCCCAACATCGAGAACTCAAAGATCGATGCATTACTCAATGAGCCTCTCCTAAAGAACAGATTTTCACCTGATCCACCTATTCTCATGAGAAATTTGGTGGCTTGTACTGGTAACCAATTCTGTGGGCAAGCAATAATCGAGACTAAAGCACGTTCAATGAAGATAACCGAGGAGGTTCAACGTCTAGTCTCTGTGACACAGCCAGTGAGGATGCACTGGACAGGTTGCCCAAATACATGTGGACAAGTTCAAGTTGCCGATATCGGATTCATGGGATGCCTGACTAGAAAGGAAGGCAAAACTGTTGAAGGTGCTGATGTTTTCTTGGGTGGCAGAATAGGGAGCGACTCGCATTTAGGAGAAGTTTATAAGAAGTCTGTACCATGTGAGGATTTGGTACCAATAATCGTCGACTTACTAATTAACAACTTTGGTGCTGTTCCAAGAGAAAGAGAAGAAACAGAGGAGTAATCTAAAATCTTCAGAATGTACTTTTTATGATATTGAAATATTTCCAAGGTACAGCATTGTAAGTTAGTAAAATAATCACAACATGAGATGTTGTTAACATGTTCATGTGTGACATAGCATGATGCAAATACTTGAACTTGTTTCAAAATATAATCACATTGTGTATTCTTTTGGAAATACTCATCCAAACTAAAAGGCTTTTGAATTGTTGAATTCCTAATAATACATTTTTTAAAATGTAATTTGATATTCATTTGTTTTGATTATTATATTCTTAAAATAATTTACTTATTCTCTCCATTCGGTATTGCTTGTCATGTTGCACTTTTTAAATGTTAATTTGACTAATCCTCAAACTTAAATTAGATCACATTAATTTGATATTTTTTAAACAAAAAAAATTATATATTCTAAAATTATATGAAAAGTACTATAAATTGCAATTTGTTGCATATAAATATGATAAAAGATACATATTAAAATGTTAATCAAAATTTTTATAGTTTGACTCTAAAAATAAAATCATGACAAACATATCAGGTACTTAAATAAGTCGTGTTGGCATTTGAAATTGTCGTACCAACACAAAGGATGTCCGAGCAGGTATTCATAATTCTTTTAAAATTTGTCACTTTTAAGTGCTATATTATTAATTTTTTACTTTAAAGAATGTACAAAATTTAAATGATACAATGAAAATTTTAATATTGAAAATATAATACATAATATAATAATTTAAATATAAAAGAATAAACATAACATAATAGTTTTAAAAAATTATCCTATAATTTAGTAGGTTATTTTCAGATTTAATAATATTCAAAAAAATAAGTGTACAGTCCATAAAATTATTTTAGTTGTGATTATGGTTATACTTATTGATCTCTTTTATCAATTATTTGTAATTGTTCTTTAGAAATTTAAAATAAAATGCAATTTTAAATAAAATAAAATAAATTAAATTTTAAATTATATGAAATTATTATAGGATGATTACTTGAAAAAGGGGAGAAATAATATAATATGAAAAAAATAATTTAAAAATTAAAATTAGGTGTCTGACAAAATAAAAATAAGGCTAGAAATGCCCTAAAGAACTCCCTATTGAGATAATACTAAGATTGTGTAACAGCAAAACAAATTACTTTACCAATGAGCATAGTGAAAACATCATAAAGCAAGACAATGACATATATATAGTGTAGTGAACATTGCATCAAATAGAAAATTCTATTTTTTCCTCTATCAATTACGCAGCCATCGCGAGTAGAGTAATTACCTAAATAATTATGTTCAATAGTGACAAGAAACACATATATATAGATACAGCTTTAATTAAAATATTAATATAGTATTCATGCTGTGCGAATTGTTTCAAGGGATTTATAAAAACAATAAATCAATATTCCCATCTTTCTAGGTGATAAGAGCAATCACTACTAGACTCTATCGCACTAAACTTAAATATTTGAGCTATTGGTGGAATATTGAATTTGTTTAATTTGAAGAGTATCTCAGATGAAATATTTTTTCTGATTCATAATCATGCCTAAAACTTATGGACAAATGATCGTTATAAATAAAATTTGATTTCTTTTGTGATCGGAGTCCATCTCAAGTTGAAGTATCAAAGCTCTATTTTGTATTGTTAAAAATATTAGTAATTAATTTGAACCTAAAAAGACTTCAATCATTTAACTTTAGCTTCTCGAGGAGGAATCATGTTTACTTTTTCTTAATTCGTATTATACACTTACATACAAATTTATAGGTAGTTCTCTCTTTTTAATTAAAATATTAAAAGTTTTTATTTTGGATTGAAAATTGTCTAGTAACTGAGGAGATCTTAGAGATGATGTTGGAAATCATCATTAAGCAATCATGTGTCTGACACACCATTCCATGAAGTAAAGATCAAAAGGTTTTCTTTTAATAGAGAAGGTTATGGCTTGATTCGTGTTTCCTTTTCAAACTCTCAAGAACTTCAAAGATTTTCCATCTGTGCCTAATTCCAAAATTGATTCTAGACATATGATCATCGATGAGAAAAATAATGTTATAGCTTAATGGCGAAGGGTAATATCAGTCAGCCGTAGATCTCAGTAACCTCAAGATTGAGGGCTTCGCTCCCTCTAACACTCGTTTAGTAGACTTTAATTGGAGTGCATTAACTCCTCTAGAAATAGAAATGAGTGCTACTCAAGCTCTAAAGTAAAGTACCCAACGGGCTAGCCTTATCTACGAGGAAGAGAGACTTCATCTTGCTTTCTCAAGGTTTATCCTTTTGATTATTATCATGATGAATTTAAACAAGAACCAAGACAAATAGAAATGATTAAACAAAGTAAATAATGTATGATTTTTTTTTCAAGAGGAAACAATATAGGATGGTGATTTTTCCAAATGTCGGGAATAAACTTAAAAAATGCCCACTATAATTTTGTTCACATAAATCGTACAAAAGATGTGTTATCTCTAACTTTCACTTTTAAATCTGTCATTTATCTCTTAATGCCTCAAATTAACATTTAATATTCGTTTTTCTCTATAAAATAACAGAATACCATAACAACATTAAGACATTCTATTGAAGTTTGACCAATCGTATTAAGACGACCCTACTCAACAAAAAAATAGCCTAAGCCTTGAAAAGAACGACTTAAGTGTTCTTTCATCGAGTATTATGATCAAGACGCGGGCGATAAATTTAAACCATGGTACTAGCTTGCAAATATGAAGATCAGCCAAACATTGTTTATCAAATCTTCTCATTAAAAAACTCAACTAGCCTTTTCATCAATAGAGCAGCCTTCTCACAATTTGGTTCAAGCAAATGAAAAACATGATCCTCCCCTTGTGTCTCCATAATCTCAACCTCACCATTCCATCCACTCTTCTTCAATGCATCATAATAAGTCAAACTCCTCTCTCTTAGAAAATCTTTCTCCGCGGTAAAAACCATAACCTTTCGACAAATAAGACTTGATAGTAACCTAAGATGAGCTGCTGGATTCAACCTAGGATCATCAAGTCCTTCACACTCTGGAAAAATAAACGAACAATACTCATCAACTTCATCGTTACCGAAAAATGGATGGATTAGTGCTATTCCAGCAATCTTAAAACCATCCCCTAGTGGCTTTTCACTAGCACTTGCTCTAACAACCATGTCATGTACAATATTTGCACCCGCACTCTCACCAGCCAAGAAAACACGTGAGAAATCTACGTGATCCTTGAGCCATGGCTCCATAACTGTTTCTTCTGTTAATATAAGATGATCACACATTTCAACATGTAAAGAAGTCCATCTAATGACGGACCAAGAATCATCATAACACGTAGGTAAAAGGTGCTCTGGAGCTAGTCTATAATCAATGGATATCGCAACCACATTGGCCTTAGTAACTATAGAGTGTAGGTACTTATCATGCCCTGATGAAAAAGCTGATTCTATTGAAAAACCTCCACCATGGATGTATATAAGGAGAGGAAACTTTTGTTCTTTTTCGGTTATTTTGGGAAGATAAAGGCGAGCTGAATTGTTATTGACATCTTTAGATCGAACTCCAGTATTGAAATTATCTGATGGATGAACATAGACATAGTTATGAAATCTTTCGACTCTGCCATCTTTGTAGACACGAAAGAAAGGGGGAAAATCATGGGCTATTTCATCTGTTGGCAATGAAACCATGCTTTGATATTAAAGCTTGAGAGTATATAAGTAGAATTCCCACTATATATAGGCACTCTAGCTGGATTCAAATGCGAGTGGATCCTCTAGCTTATACTAGTAGCACAATGACACTCCTATGCTTTTCATGGTTGCACGGTTAATTATATCATAATCTCTGTTAGTTTCTCAAGATACATATACATATTAATACATTATTCTGTCTGAAGTTAACGAGTGCACGTGCATTCCCACCTAGAGGGGTTTGGTCCGCCTCTGGGCCATCTCCACCATAAGGCCATTAAAGTAATACTTAGGGCCCCAAATCTTACGTGACTATCTATTTTGTTGATTTATTTATATCTCAATGACTATCAAGAAGCAACATTATTATTCTTATATTTAACATTTTTATCGCCTGCTGATTTTTATTCTCTCATTATTGAATATTCTTAAGTCTATTATAAAGTCAAACCTTTTGTATTATGCAAAATCTATTGTTATGTGTTTATTAAAACAAAAGCAAATTTATTTTTAGGTGTATTCAATATTATTTTATCAACTTATTATTAAATTGAACGTAACTATTTCAGTATCTTTATATTATCATTTAAATCTTTTGAGTCAGATTTTATTAATTTTATTTTATAATATATTTTTTCATAAAAAATTTCATAAGGTCTGCATACATTTTAATTTCTTAAGAATCTACTAGTAAAATTATATTGAGTATGTTATAGTTATTACATTTATATATGATAACTAAAAAATAAAAATCTCTTATAAAATTTAATTTTAGGCCTCAAAACTTATTAAGATGCTGAAATTTATGATTTCTTTGACACTGACTTTATTGAATTCAGAGTAAGCAAATTCAACAAAGTAGCATGTCATGTTTGAATACCATACAAGCTACAAAATAAGTAACTTCAATAATGCTAGTAGCATGTCGTGTTTGAATATTATGTTATCGTTTAGCAACGAGTACAAAAATAATGTTGAATAAAATATATAATAATTTATATTAGTTAAGCGTATATTGATAAACAAAGACTGTTTTTTATTTATTGTTTAATTGAGTGTATTAAAATAGCATGTATTACGTATTATTTTTAAAAAAAAATATTTATTTACGAATATATCCTTTATAAATGTGATGAAAAATATGAAAAAAATATTTTTAGGAGCAATTGAATATTTAATGGTGCTAATGCACACATTAAAACTCCTGCATTAATAATATCATGAATTGTCATGTATTAATAATACATATCTCAATACATAATTAGGAGCGACTAAACCACATTTATAACCTAAAATCAAAAATAAATTATAGAACTTAAAAGGTTTATTTCAGAGTTTACTCCCTTAGGTTTTCTTTTACAGATGCAAAGTTGTTAACATAAATGAATTATTTTTGAGATACAATGTCATTTTTCGTAATGCAAAGGTTTACTTTTCTATAAATAGTACAACATTTGTTTCAATTGTTTTAATTTCAAGCACTGCAACATTTGTTTCCATTTCTTTTAATGAAAAGGTTTGTCAATTTTTTTACTTGAGACGAAATTAAAAAAATAAAATTCAAACCTTATATTATCTTTAAAAAGTATGTATAATATATCAAAATCTTACGATCGTAAATATATTATATTAAAAATTAAAATGAAAAAGTTGACAAAAAAAGAATATATATATTTTTTGAAATAAAACCAAAAAAAGACGCAAATAAAAATGATGTAGTACTACGTTTTTTCCCCTTAAAAACCTATATAATTCTATTATTATAATTAATTATTTTTTTTAAAAAAAAAGGGAAGGGGAGGGGGAGCTCAAATTTGGGGCCGGATGCGCGTACCAAGCCTCTGTAATTTTGTTAGAAAATTTTATAGCCTTCGCTAATGACCAACAACGCTATCCAATGTGTGTTGCCCGTCTGACAAATGATATAACATAAAATTTAACTATGTTAAGAAAATGGTAGGTGATAAATGTTGCAAATTTACATAGGGAATAAAAGGAAACTTTTCTATAGAAATTGAAATGAAAAAAAGTGAAGAAAATGTATGAAAATTGATTATAAGTGAATCGACGAAATTGAAGTTTGACAAAGTGCATTAATAAAATTGAAATGTTGGAGAGAAAGTGGTTTAATAATTAAAAATCAAAGACATCAAATTTATCAAATTTATAGGATACCAGTATTGTTGATGTTTTCTTGGATGACAGAATATAGAGTGACTCATATTTGGGAGATGTTTATAAGAAGTGTATTTTCGTAAAGATTTGGCACCAATAATTATCAAGTTATTAGTTAATAACTTTAGCATTGTTCCAAGAGAAAGAGAAGAAACGAAAGATTAATATAAAAGTTTAAGAATTAGCTCATGGCTTTACTCAACACAATTAAATGGACATTTTTTTTTATTTAAGAAAGAAAAGGATTTTATATTTTTGATATGAAGGTTTATCCATACAAAAGTGAAACTAGTTTATGAGATGTAGTTCCATTTACATCTCTTTCGAGATAATTTGTTACAAGAGAAGGTGTGAAGAAACTCCATTAATGGAGCTTAAGAAGATGGGAGAAGACGAAAGAAGGAATTGAAGAAGAATTGGAAATTTCTGTATATTGAATCTGTGTGTTTACATCATATATATACAAAACTGTTTTGAGTATAAAATGACAACTAATTATTCTAACTAACATTATTCCTATTTTCTAACTAACTTGTAACTAACTACCTAACTAAATATATATTAAAAAGAGTACACGATTAGTTTATAAATCCTTTTAACACTCCCCCTCAAGCTAAGAATTGAAAAATACATTTTTCATTCCTAGTTTGTCAATCAGTTCTTCATGTAACCCAAGACCCTCCTATTGAAGAGATCTTGAAAAATGAAAAAATCAGGAAAAAACACTACATCACACTCCTATTGTTTTGTTAGTTGTGATACTGACAAGAGATTATACTTTAATTCTGGAACAAAAAACACATCCTTTACTAGTTTGTGTTTAAAAACCAATGATTCACCAACATGACTAATAGACACCTGATCACCAGTAGGTAAATTTACTTTAATACCACCCTGAACATCAAGATTTGTGGACTGACTTATTAAGCTAAAGTTGTGTACCATATGATTGTAGGCACCAATATCTATAATCCAATTAACATGTGACATATTAGACATTAGAGCTGTAAAATTACCTGATGTCTCTGATACACCTGTAGTAGCTACATTGGCCATTGCATCCACCTTTTTACTCTTTCCTTTTCTCAGCATCTGCAAAATCTCATGATATTGCTCTTGAGTAAACATTGACACACTCTGTCCTGAAGTAGTATTAGTGGATGACTCATTTGCTCTAGTATTAAAACCTAAAGATGAATCAAATGCTCCAGAATCATTGCCAGCAGAAGCATTTTTTGCATAAGAAGATGTTTCTCTTTTTCTTTTTAGGATAACCATGAAGTTTGTAACAGGTTTCTTTTGTATGACCTTTATAGTGATAATGTTGAATGCCTTGAATCGGACCTGTTATAACAGAAAGGATGGGGGTCTCGCTGCCCGGTCAGCGAGTCGGGGGGTCCAGGGGGGCGACGCGCCCCCTGGCCTGGGGGTCCGGGGGGCGGAGACGCCCCCCCGGCCTGACGGTATACAATGTTGTTGTATTGGGCCCTTAATTATCTGTCAATTCTGTATGTTGGGCCCAAGCCTGTTAGGACGTAGCTTAGCACTATATATAGACGCTATGGCAAACCCTATTCTGTATTCTGTTTTTGCCTCTCCATAATAAAACTGCTCCCTCTCTTCCCATGGATGTAGCCAATTTATTGGTGAACCACGTAAATCTGTTGTCTTGTTTTTCGCATTTATATTTTCTCGTATTATCTCGAATTCCGCACAACAGACAAAAATTCACAGTAGAGTTGTGATTGTCCTGCAGAGTAACTAGTTCTTCCATCTCCATATCCTTTATTTCTATATCCATTATTATGAAAATTAGACAATCCTCTTCCTGTTCCTGAGGAAGCTCCATTACTATTATTGTAGTATCCACCATTTCCAGATTGTGAACTAAGAGGCATTCGATTACTCATCAATGTTGTTTTAGATAAACCTTCTACAGAGGAAGATGTATTTCCTGCACCATGTATTCTTTGACTCTCAACACTAATAATCATAGCATAAGCCTGATTTATATTTGGAACTGGAATTTACATAAGAACTTGACTTCTTGCATGAGCATAAGACTCATTAAGTCCCATCAAAAATTGCCACAACTTTTGAAACTATAAATGCTCTACGTATTTCTTAGATTCAGGACAAGCACATGAAGGATAAGGAATCAATGTTTCAGCTTCATCCCACAATTCTCTCAATCTTGAAATGTAAATTGACACAGAAGAAGTTCCTTGTAACAGAGTGACTATCTCTTTGTGAAGATAAAAGGCCCTAGATGCATTGACTTTATCAAATCTTTCATGTAGATCTTCCCATACTGTATGAGCATCAGATCCATAGATTACTGTACTAATCAAGCTTTTCAACACAGTATTCATAATCCACCCTAGAAAAATTGCATTACATTTATCCCATACATCATCTAAAGATTTAGAATACATCTCCTTTTTACAAGTTCCTAGTAGAAATCCTAGCTTGTTTTTTCCAAGTGACACAAGTTTTAAAGATTTGCTCCACAAAGAATAATTTTCAGAACCTAGTAATTGAATTGAAATCAGAACAGAACCTTGAGTATTTGAAGGATGTATAAAGAGAGGATGATTGTGATCGATTGGCCCTGGAGTTGCAACTGGAAGTTGTTGTTGAACTTCACTTTAAGCTCCCTCTGCAATTGAAGGCATTATTGATTAATTTTGAACAGTTAACAGTATCCAATTTCTATGGAACAAAAAAAACTAGATCTTCAATTCAAGAATCTTCTCAATCTTTTCTCAAGACTACGAAAAATTAACACAGAAATTCAAATTCTCCTGTGCTCTGACACCATGTGAAGAAACTCCACTAATGGAGCTTAAGAAGATGGGAGAAGACGAAAGAAGGAATT